CAGAAGAGGGAGTCGGGGGCCTCTAATGGAGACCTCTCCCTCTCAGACATGCGTGTGTGCGCACACACACACACACACACACACACGGCACCTGTCGCTGTCCTTGTGCTTAAATCCTGGTGCTGTCCATGCAGGGACACGTCCTGTTGTGGCCGGTCCTCACTCACTGGCAGGGACACGTCCCGCTGTGGCCGGTCCTCACTCACTGGCAGGGACACGCCCCGCTGTGGCCGGTCCTCACTCACTGGCAGGGACACGTCCTGTTGTGGCCGGTCCTCACTCACTGGCAGGGACACGTCCCGCTGTGGCCGGTCCTCACTCACTGGCAGGGACACGTCCCGTTGTGGCCGGTCCTCACTCACTGGCAGGGACACGTCCCGCTGTGGCCGGTCCTCACTCACTGGCAGGGACACGTCCCGCTGTGGCCGGTCCTCACTCACTGGCAGGGACACGCCCCGCTGTGGCCGGTCCTCACTCACTGTCAGGGACACGCCCCGCTGTGGCCGGTCCTCACTCACTGGCAGGGACACGCCCCGCTGTGGCCGGTCCTCACTCACTGGCAGGGACACGCCCCGCTGTGGCCGGTCCTCACTCACTGGCAGGGACACGGCCCGCTGTGGCCGGTCCTCACTCACTGGCAGGGACACGGCCCGCTGTGGCCGGTCCTCACTCACTGGCAGGGACACGGCCCGCTGTGGCCGGTCCTCACTCACTGGCAGGGACACGGCCCGCTGTGGCCGGTCCTCACTCACTGGCAGGGACACGGCCCGCTGTGGCCGGTCCTCACTCACTGGCAGGGACATGTGCCTGTTGTGGCCGGTCCTTACTCACTGGGAACGTGCCTGCCGCCGTGTGGGTGCCAGGCGCTGGGGGCAGCCATGGCCCCTGCGGTCTCTGTCCAGGTCGGCTGCCACTGGTCTTGAGCGTGTTGCAGGAGACAGGTGTTTGCCGAGCATTTGGGGTGTGACGTGCACACAGCGTCTGCGTGTGGGTTGAGTGTGGGGGTCGGAGGCCGGACAGGAGCAGAGGTGGGCCACATGGGGCTGTGAGGGGCTCACCTGCCCTCCGGGGCCCTGTGCCTGCTGGCCTACGATGCAGGAGCCGAGCCACGGGAGTGGTGGCAGCACCACAGTGGGTGGAGGAAGACGGCTCACCTGGAAAACAGTCCAGCCGGGGCCACGGCCAAGACAGGGGCTGCAGGGCTGGGGGGCGGGTAAAGCCGAGGTGGCTGGGATGTGGGTGTGCCCCCAGGGCATGGCCACGGGGAGAGGGGAGGGACAGGGAGGCACACAGGAGACCTGGAGCTGCGAGGCCAGGGTCGCACCTGCCCAGCTGCCCTGGCCCGCGCCTGAAGGGAAGACCCAGGCACAGGATGTCAGCCTCACGGGCACGGAGAGCCGAGAGCTGCCGAGGCGACGTCCACTTCCGCAGCTTGGGGAGGGTCAGCTGCCCGGTGGCCTTTTCAGAGGGCTTGCGTGGAGACAAGCGTCTCGAGGCCACAAGACACTGGGCCTTGGGTTTGCCCGGGATGCCCTTGGAGGCAGGCGTGCCAAGCCCGGCGGGGGTGCTTCACCTTCCTCGCCGTCTCACTGGCTGGTAGACAGGCGTCTGAGGCACGGATGGTGTGAAACACACAGCCAGGGTCCTAGCGGGCTGCAGAGTCGGGATGGAGCCGGGCAGCCGTGCCCCCTTCTGGGGAGCCCAGGTTTCCCGAGGAAGGAGCAAGAGTCTGCGGCCTCCCTCTGCGGCCCGAGTCCCCGTATGGACAAGCTGAAGTCCTGTCCCTTGAGAGCTGAGCCCTGCTGCGTCCACACTGAGTGCCAGGATGGGGTTGCAGGGTGGGAGGCAGAGTGTGCAGGTGAGGGTCAGGGAGAGGGAGGCACCGGGGAGGCAGGGACACGGCGGACAGAGGGCCAGGGGGCTGGGAGATGGGGCTTAGGGGACTACAGGGGGACAGAGAGATGGGTACAGAGGCAGAGGGACGGGGACAGGGACTGGGAGACAGGGACTTAGGGGACAGGGAGACAGAGAAATGGGTACAGGGGCAGAGGGACAGGGGATGGGGGACTGGGAGACAGAGAGACGGGTACAGGGGCAGAGGGATGGGGGAGAGGGACTGGGGGACAGGGGGACAGGGGATGGGGAGACAGACGGGTATGGGGCAGAGGGACAGAGGATAGGGGGCTGGGGGACAGGAACTTAGGGGACAGTGGACTAGGGGACAGGACTGGGGGATGGGGAGACAGAGAAATGGGTACAGGGGCAGAGGGACGGGGGATAGGGGACTGGAGGACAGGAACTTAGGGGACAGGGGAGAGTGGACTAGGGGACGGAACTGGAGGACCAGGAGACAGAGATTTGGGTACAAGGCAGAGGGGCAGGGGATGGGAGATGGGAGATGGAGGGCAGGGGACGGGGAGGGGGTGCTGTCCCACAGGAGCCCAGAGCCTCCTCGGCTTCTCGGGTGGGGTTGACGCTGACACTGGAAATGACCTTTATGTGGGACTTCAAGGGTGGATGTCTCAGCCCCTCGGGCTTCACCGCCCCCGTCCTTGACCAGCAGCCCCCTGTCCCCGAGAGCCCCCACCCCGAGCACGAAACCAAAAGCTGCTTCTCTTTTTTTTTAAAAAAGAACGTCATGCGTTTAATATATGCACATTTGGGAACGTGGCGATTCTTCCTCCCCACCTCCCTCCCGCCCACACTCCACCCTTCCTCCTCCCCCCCCCCCATTCCCATTATCTTTTGCAAAGATCTATACTAATTTTATACTCATAAGATTAACCCTACAGTAAGTAGAGAGTTTACCGAATAGTATGAAGAAAAAAGAACAAAAACAAACAAGGAAAACTTTGTTCCTCAACAGTCAAGACAAGGCTGATACAGTGTCAGTGTCACTTCTCCGCTTGCCTTGTAGGTGCTCCATGGTTATCACAGGCCAGGGAGAACGTGTGGCGTGTGTCCCTCTGGGACTGGCTTATGTCACTAAGGGAGAGCGTGTGGCGTGTGTCCCTCTGGGACTGGCTTATGTCACTAAGTAGGACGTTTGCGGAGTCATCCGTTTTGTTGCAAAGGACAAGTTTGTATCTTTTTTACTGCTGTGTAGTATTCCATGGTGCACATATCCCATAATTTCTTTACCCATTCTTCCGTTGACGACATCTGGGTTGATCCATGGCTTAGCTGTGTGAACAGAGCTGCAGTAAACATGGGGGTGCAGAGAACTCTCCTATGCTGATTTCCTTTCCCGCGGGTAAATTCCCAGCGTCAGGCGTGGGATGGCTGGGTATGGTAGGTCTGCATCAGATTTCAGAGGTCTCCATGCCGTCCCCAGTGGCGGTACCGCTGTGCACTCCCACCAGCGGTGGATCAGGGGACCTTTTCCCCCACATCCTTGCCACCATTTGCTGTTTGCTGATTTCTGTATGAGAGCCGTTATCACCGGGGTGAGGATCTGCATCTCAGTGCCCCGTGCCCGGCAGACAGGCAGACTCCCGGTGCCAGGGGACAGATCCCCTCCTGGCCCTGTTGTGTTTCTGGAGTTCTCGTGCCCCTGGTGGGGTGGGGGGCGTCCTGAAATCCGACTCCTGCTGTGCGTGACCCCTGTGCCCCATGGGCAGGCGGATGGAAAGAGCAGGTGCAGCTGCCCCCTGGGTGTGGCTGTCGCTAGGGCAGAGGCCCTGACCCTCCACTGGGCCAGTCCTCCCTGCGTCCCCAGGGCTGCCAAGTGGACAGGACCTCGGCTGTGCGCGGGGCTCCTGCGGGCTCAGGTCCCTGCGTCCCCAGGGCTGGCTCCTGGATGGCTGAGCGCACGCACACAGGGCCCCTGCAGGGAGGGTTCAGACAGGCGACACAGGGAGCTTGGAGCTAGCGGCCGGCAGGGGCTGAGCTGCCACCAGGATCGCAACGGTTAAGTCGCCGGCAGCAGGATGAGTGAGCTCCTTAATCAGGGACATCAAATTGAGGCCGAGGGAGGGGCAGCGGCTGTGGCCACGGCCGCGGTGCGAGGCCGGCTTTGCGCAGCAGCCCAGGAAGGTGTGGGGTCCCCACGCGCAGCCCAAGATGGAGCTCTGCCGCCTTCCTTTGTGTGCCCGTGCCGGGCGTTCCGGGAAACGGGCCGCTGGCTCCTGAGCGGCGCCGGCCCTGGCAGCATGACCTTAAGCCTGGTCTCCCTGCTGTGCCAGGACCTCACGGCCCTCTGGCTGCTGCTGAAGACCAGCACAGGTGCGTCCGGCGCGGGGCAGCATGATGGGCGTGACGTGCGCGGGGACACGGGGGCGGTGGGGCGGGGGCTGCTCAGGCCCTGTCAGTGCAGCCGGGCTGTGGACACTGCGCTCGCTCTGCCTGGGGGCTGGAGCCTCAGAGCGGCTGGGGCTGTGCTGGCCGCTTTGGGGTCAGAGAGTCTGGGGGGGTGGTGCCTGAGGGCTGCCCGGTCTTCCTGCCCCGGCTGTCCCTTTGGGCAGCACAGGCCGTGTGTGCCTCTGGACGCAGGTGATTCGCCAAGGCTGGGAATCAGAGCTGTCATGGGGCTCCTTTGTCCAGGATCCGCACAGGACTTGCCCTGGTGGTGAGCGAGGGACGCAGCAGAGGCTGTCGGTGAAGGGGCTGCAGCCCCCTCCCCTGTGGGGACGCCCAGCTGGCTCTGTCCTTGCAGCCGGCCTGGGACCCTGGGGCTGGGGCCACAGGACTACAATGTCTTAGGTGGTCAGGGAGCTGGCCAGGTTCTGGCTGTGTCACAAGTGCTCCGGATTGCACTGCCCAGTGCTGACAGTGGGGTATTAGAGGAGGGGCGGGGCTGAGAGAGGAGGGGGCGGGGCTGAGAGAGGAGGGAGGGGGCTGAGAGAGAGGAGGGGAGGGGGCTGAGAGAGGAGGGGGCAGGGCTGAGAGGAGGGAGGGGGCTGAGAGAGGAGGGGGCTGAGAGAGGAGGGGAGGGGGCTGAGAGAGGAAGGGGCTGAGAGAGGAGGAAGGGGGCTGAAGAGGAGGGAGGGGGCTGAGAGAGAGGATGGCCTGGGCTTCCTGGGTCATGTCTAAGACCTGCAAGGATGCATAGTTTCAAGTCATTTGTCATAATACATTTTTCCTGTGTGTCCTGCCAAATATTGATGAATAATTCATAAAAGAAGTATTTTTGTGAATTTCAGTGAATCAAACAAGAGCTATCAGTGGCAGCAATTAAACATCTACATTGTCTACTATTTTATTTTTTAAAAATATTCATTCATTTGCAAGGCAGAGTGCCAAAGATAAGAGAGAGAATCAATCTTCCATCTCCTGGTTCAACCCCAGACGGCAGCCAGGACAGCCAGAGCTTGGGCCAGGCTGACCTGAGGCCAGCAGCCAGGCGCTCCCTTCAGGTCACCCGCGGGGATAGAAGGGCCCGGGCACTTGGGTCAGAGTCCACTGCCTTCCCTGCACAGTAGCAGAGAGCCGGGTCAGCAGCTGGGTGCCCAGGCCTCGAACCTGCTGTCCACCAGTGATGACAGCACCATAGGCAGGGCTGAGCACCATGCCAGCACCAGTGTCCTTGTGATGCGGGAGGTGAGGTGAGGGCGCTCAGGTGATGGAGGAGGTGAGGTGAGGAGACTCAGGTGATGGGGGAGGTGAGGTGAGGGCTCTCAGGTGCTGGAGGAGGTGAGGTGAGGGCTCAGGTGATGGGGGAGGTGAGGTGAGGAGACTCAGGTGATGGGGGAGGTGAGGTGAGGCTCTCTCAGGTGATGGGGGAGGTGAGGTGAGGGCTCAGGTGATGGGGGAGGTGAGGTGAGGAGACTCAGGTGATGTGGGAGGTGAGGTGAGGAGATTCAGGTGATGGAGGAGGTGAGGTGAGGGCTCTCAGGTGATGGGGGAGGTGAGGTGAGGAGATTCAGGTGATGGGGGAGGTGAGGTGAGGAGATTCAGGTGATGGAGGAGGTGAGGTGAGGGCTCTCAGGTGATGGGGGAGGTGAGATGAGGGCTCTCAGGTGCTGGAGGAGGTGAGGTGAGGGCACTCAGGTGATGGGGGAGGTGAGGTGGGGCTCTCAGATGATGGAGGAGGTGAGGTGAGGAGACTCAGGTGATGGGGGAGGTGAGGTGAGGGCTCTCAGATGATGGAGGAGGTGAGGTGAGGCTCTCTCAGGTGATGGAGGTGAGGTGAGGAGACTCAGGTGATGGGGGAGGTGAGGTGAGGAGACTCAGGTGATGGGGGAGGTGAGGTGAGGGCTCAGGTGATGGGGGAGGTGAGGTGAGGAGACTCAGATGATGGGGGAGGTGAGGTGAGGGCTCTCAGATGATGGAGGAGGTGAGGTGAGGGCACTCAGGTGATGGGGGAGGTGAGGTGAGGAGACTCAGGTGATGGGGGAGGTGAGGTGAGGAGACTCAGGTGATGGGGGAGGTGAGGTAAGGAGACTCAGGTGATGGAGGAGGTGAGGTGAGGAGACTCAGGTGATGGGGGAGGTGATGTGAGGCTCTCTCAGGTGATGGGGGAGGTGAGGTGAGGAGACTCAGGTGTTGGAGCAGGTGAGGTGAGGTGAGGGCTCTCAGGTGATGGGGGAGGTGAGGTGAGGAGACTCAGGTGCTGGGGGAGGTGAGGTGAGGAGATTCAGGTGATGGGGGAGGTGAGGTGAGGGCACTCAGGTGATGGGGGAGGTGAGGTGAGGAGATTCAGGTGATGGGGGAGGTGAGGTGAGGGCACTCAGGTGATGGGGGAGGTGAGGTGAGGCGACTCAGGTGATGGAAGTGATGAGGTGAGGTGAGGAGACTCAGGTGCTGGACGAGGTGAGGTGAGGGCTCTCTCAGGTGCTGGAGGAGGTGAGGAGGCTCAGGTGCTGGACGAGGTGAGGTGAGGAGACTCAGGTGCTGGGGGAGGTGAGGTGAGGAGACACAGGTGATGCAGGAGGTGAGGGCTCTCAGGTGATGGGGGAGGTGAGGTGAGGAGACTCAGGTGATGGGGGAGGTGAGGTGAGGGCACTCAGGTGATGGAAGTGATGAGGTGAGGTGAGGAGACTCAGGTGCTGGACGAGGTGAGGTGAGGAGACTCAGGTGCTGGGGGAGGTGAGGTGAGAAGACTCAGGTGATGGGGGAGGTGAGGTGAGGAGACTCAGGTGATGGAAGTGATGAGGTGAGGTGAGGAGACTCAGGTGCTGGACGAGGTGAGGTGAGGAGACTCAGGTGCTGGGGGAGGTGAGGTGAGGAGACACAGGTGATGGGGGAGGTGAGGTGAGAAGACTCAGGTGATGGGGGAGGTGAGGTGAGGAGACTCAGGTGATGGAAGTGATGAGGTGAGGTGAGGAGACTCAGGTGCTGGACGAGGTGAGGTGAGGAGACTCAGGTGCTGGGGGAGGTGAGGTGGGGCTCTCAGGGTGTTGGAGGTGAAGGAGTAGGTCTCCCCAGCAGTGCAGCTTCCTGTGTGTTCATTCAGATTCGGCTGCCATTGTGTCACCTGCATGCCGGAACCACTGCCTGGGCGGGGAAGACGTCCTGCGTCACATCTCCCATCAGGGCCAGAGTGGCCGTGCTCTGAGCCCCCCGCCCCCAGTCTGTGAGGGTTCCTTCTCTCGGTCACGGGCTCGGTCAGGTGTTTGCCAAGACCACCCCAAGCAGCCACTGGTTCTGAAGCTTCCATAGCGTGGCACCCAGGTGTGGCAGGTGTTACGACGTTGAAGCTGGGCACCGTCGGATGCTAACAGCTGCAGCCTTAATCCTGTAGCAGTTTCGAGAGTTTTCTGTAGTGAAAGTTGTTTATCCTGTCGTAAACGTCACTTCGATCTTGGGAGCTGTTTCTCTTGGGAATCGGGAGCAGAATATCTTCAGAGCGTTCTGGCCGTGGGTACTGGAACCTGGGCTGCCAGGCTGCGGGGGGCGGGGGTGGTGAGACCGGCCCTGCGTCTGGAGAGGGGAGCCCTGGGAAGTACGTGACATCTGCGGGGACCTTTTGCCATTCCGGGACCGCCTGCCTTTGGGCGTGGCCCTAACTGATGACCCGGATGTCTGGTTGTTCAGAACCACGTTCTGGGTTTAATCCCTCGAACTTGCCCTCTGCACACCCCGGCGTTGGCCAGCGTGGACTCCTGAGGCACATGGCCCAGGGCCTGCGGCCGCTTCTGTCACCCAGGGCAGGGGCCCCTCCGGGCTGCCTCCTGCCCCAGAGGAGCTGTGGGCGTCACGCAGACGCAGAGCCGTTCCTGGGGACACGGCTGGCGAGGCTGTCTCCAGTGCACTGCACCGCGCCCGGGGCGGGCCCTTCCCTGTGCTTTCTGTGATCGGTCAGCACCTGCCGTCTACCTGGAGGGCTCCACCCTAGACAGGTGCCGTGGGCAGGAGGGGAGGCGGGGAAGAGGCAGCGCCCGAGGCTGGGCGAAGCTGGTCCTTCTGAGCTCTGATCTCACCCTGGGGCCACGCCTCCCATCTGTGCCGCTAACCAGATTAACGAGGCCCAGGACCGGTGACCTGCCCGGGGTGTGTGTGTGTGTGTGTGTGTGTGCGCGTGCCGGCAGCCCCTCCTGGAGCAAATGGGAGCACCTGCCTGGCCGCCCCACCCCTCACGCGGGCTCGTGGGACTCGTGCCGACTGCCTTGCTCTTAATTCTCTTTATTTCAAATTGATGAGTCATCCTTTTAGAATGGGTAAGAAAAAGCCATCAGAAAAATCCCTTTTGTTTCACAATGGCAGTGGGCTCCTGTGGGGTGCAGGGTGTGTGTGTCTGTGTGTGAATAGCCTGCCTGGGTGTGTGTGAGGGCGTGTCTACGTGAGCGACTGTGCGTGTGTATGCATGTGATGTGTGTAAATGTGGGTATGATGGTGAGTGTGTGTCTGCTGTGTGAGGGTGGCCATGTCTGTGACACGTGTGGCGTGTGTGCACTTGAGTACATGTGTGCACGTGTGATGTAGGTGAGTGTGTAAGTGATGCCTGCATATGTGAGTGTGCCCATATGTGTGTGAGATTGATATGTGTGGCGTATGTGCATGTGAGTACATGTGTGTGCATGTGATGTCTGGGCATGTGAGAGTGCCTGTATGTGTCTATGCATGTGAGTACATGTGTGTGCATGTGATGTCTGGGCATATGAGAGTGCCTGTGTGTGTCTGTGCATGGGAGTACATGTGTGCACATGTGATGTCTGGGCATGTGAGAGTGCCTGTGTGTGTCTGTGCATGGGAGTACATGTGTGCGCATGTGATGTCTGGGCATATGAGAGTGCCTGTGTGTGTCTGTGCATGGGAGTACATGTGTGCACATGTGATGTTTGGGCATATGAGAGTGCCTGTGTGTGTATGTGCATGGGAGTACATGTGTGCACATGTGATGTAGGTGAGTGTGTAAGTGAAGCCTGCATATGTGAGTGTGCCCGTATGTGTGCGAGGTTGGTATGTGTGGCATGTGTGCATGTGAGTTCATGTGTGCACGTGGATGTAGATGAGTAAGTCATGTCTACACATGTGAGTATGCCCATATGTGTGTGAGATTGATATGCGTGGCATGTGTACATGTGAGTACATGTGTGCACGTGTGATGTAGGTGAGTGTGTAAGTGATGCCTGCATATGTGAGTGTGCCCGTATGTGTATGTGACTGGTATGTGTGGCGTGTGTACATGTGAGTACATGTGTGCGCATGTGATGTAGGTGAGTGTGTAAGTGTGCACACTTGCTTGTATCTGTGTGAGGGGTGTGTGTGTGACAGGTGGCATGTGCAAATGGCATGTGTGAGTAGCTGAGAGCATGTGTGTGCGTACACGTGACCCCTGCGTGTGTGTCCGTGCATGGGTGACTGCAGCGAGCCCGTGCGTGTTCTCATTCCGCTGTGGCCGTGTCTGTCCTGGGAGGATTGGCCGAGGGGCTGGCGCTGCAGAACTCCCACACCACAGGATCCTCGCCAGGCCGGGAGGGTACACACAGGAGGCCACAGAACCGGGCGTGAGTCCCAGCCGGCCGAGGAGTTTCCTGGCACGTCCCTGACGTGTGGCGGGGGGTGTCACTCGGAGCCCCCGTGCTGTGCCGCGACCCCAGCCCGCAGCGTGGGCTTCGGAGCAGGGTCCCGCTGGTTTGGGCTGCGGAGAGTGGGCTCAGTTGCCTCAGGGGTGGCAGCTGAGTCACTGCCCCCAGGCAGGTGCCCTGGAGTTCTGTGCAGCCCTGGACTCCTACGTGGCCCTCGTGAGCCCCTGGGCATCCCTGGGTCGCTCCACAGCCGCCTCGGCCCACACCTCCATGGGGCTGGAGGTGGCGATGTCTCCTGTTGGGGGCAGTGAGGCAGTGTCCAGTCTGAACCCTGCCCCATCCCTGCTGGGCGTCCACTCCCTGTCCAGGCGCAGCCCTGCCTGCACCCGCTGGGCTAGGGCTGTGGTCCCATCACCGGTGCGTGGAACACAGACCCCACGCTGCAGGATGGCGGCTTCTCCTAACCGGGATGCACCAAAGGGAGAGCAGAGCCTGTGCCATCCCTGGGGCCTGGGACGCAAACACACAGACCCTCCCCCCCCACCCCCGCAGGGCAGGGGCTCCAACTTCTGTATGGTGCTGCTTCTTCTCCAGCGACCTCGCTGAGCTAGCTGGGTTCCCTGGCACAGGGGCCTCTGGGAGGAAGCTGGAACCAGCGGAAACAGGGCTCTCGTCCTCGGGCCATCAGGGGTGTTGGCCGTGCACAGTGGCCGGTGGTACCGCCCCCGCTCTGTGCAGAGCCACCTGCCCACAGGCTTCCCCGGGCCATTTTTTCCATGCCCAGGGGCTGCTCCTGGTGCCCTGTTCTGGGCCCAGGGCTGCTCCTGGTGCCCTGTTCTAGGCCCAGGGGCTGGTCCTAGTGTCCTGTTCTGGGCCCAGCGCTGCTCCTGGTGTCCCGTTCTGGGCCAGGGCTGCTCCTGGTGTCCTGTTCTGGGCACAGGGCTGGTCCTGGTGCCCCATTCTGGGCACAGGGCTGGTCCTAGTGTCCCGTTCTGGGCCAGGGCTGCTCCTGGTGCCCCATTCTGGGCCAGGGCTGCTCCTGGTGCCCCGTTCTGGGCCCAGCACTGCTCCTGGTGCCCTGTTCTGGGCCAGGGCTGGTCCTGGTGTCCTGTTCTGGGCCAGGGCTGCTCCTGGTGCCCCGTTCTGGGCCAGGGCTGCTCCTGGTGCCCTGTTCTGGGCCAGGGCTGGTCCTGGTGTCCTGTTCTGGGCCCAGCGCTGCTCCTGGTGCCCCGTTCTGGGCCAGGGCTGCTCCTGGTGCCCCGTTCTGGGCCTTTCCTTTGCTGCTGGGCTTGTCCTTGAGGAATGGAGCACGCAGCTCCTGGGCAGAGTGGCCCCTCCTGGCCTGCCCTGCTGCTCTGTGAGCTCAGCGGCCACTGGTCTCTCCTGAGCCTTTGCATGGCTGCAGGACACCTGTGTAGGCGGCCCCAGCCTGGGCCTGCCAGGGCCACATGCCCAGCTGATCCGAAGTGCCCAGTGTGGTGTCTGGGCCTGGCAGGGGCGTGAACGGACTTGTTAGCAATACACCAGCACACCAGCATGGGCACCTGTTCTCAGAATTCCCACGTGGGTCCACATAACTGCCCCTGCACCTCCAGTGAGACCTCGTGATACCTGTGCACCTGCCTGCTCCTCACGCCATGGGGTCCTGATGGGCCTGGCGGACCCCAGCATGTGTCCCTGAGTCAGCCGTGCCCACTCCAGCTGCCCTCGGCACTGTAGACCTGGTATGCGCAGCAACACGTGGCGTAAATTCAGGCCCCTGTGGGCTCCCTGGCTGACGCTGCCTCTGCCTGGCCTCTCGTGCCTGTCTCCTGGCAGGTCACCCCCGAGTGTCTGTCCATGGCCTCTCCCAGAGAGGCCCAGCCCCACTCCCAGCCCCCTCTGTCCTCACGTGGGCAGGGGCCACGCCAGCAGGCCGACCACCCGGTATCTGCACCTGGTTTGGTCTCCGTGCCAGCTCCCTCTGCAGTGGGGCCGGGAGGGGTCTCCACCGTGGCCTCTCTGACCCTAGACACTGCTTCTGGCGTCCCAAGAGCCGCGCACTGAGGGAGGTATGGTCCTGGCATCCCCAGGTCTCCCACGCGCAGCCACGGGAGCGTCTTCCACAGATGCCCCCCATCCCCGTCCCTTGGTGGCCGGGCCCCCCGCACTTCCCTTCCACTTCGATGGTGACGTCCACACTCCTGTGCCCCCGGATCCCTCAG